ATGGGAGCAGGTTTTGCTGTGTGTATTTTTACCAAAAATAAAATATTAATTAGAAAAGAAGCTCTGTACTGATTAGCAATCACTCCTCATTCCTGCATGTCCCCTGCCCCCCCAGCCCTAGGCAACCACTAACCTACTTTCCGTCTCTATGGATTTGCCTATTCTGGACATTTCATATAAATGGAATCATACAATATGTGACCTTTTGTGTCTGGCTTCTTTCACTTAAGGAGCCCTGGTGGCACAGTGGTTAAAGCGCTCGGCTGCTAACCGAAAGGTCGGAGGTTTGAACCCACCAGCTGCTCCACAGGAAAAGATTACAGCCTTGGAAACCCTGTAGGGCAGTTCTAATCTGTCCTTACCAGGGTCACTGTGAGTCGGAATCCACTGGGAGCAAGGAGTTTGTTTCTTTCTCTTAGCATAATGTTTTCAAAGTTTATCATGTTGTAGCATGTATACTTTATTCCTTTTATTGCCAAGTAATATTCCAGTGTATGGATAAACCAGGTTTTATTTATCAGTTCATCAGTTGGTGGATATTTGGGTTGTTTCCACTTTTAAGCTAATGTGAATAATGCTGCTGTGACCGCTCACGTACAAGTTTTTGTTTGAACGTATGTTTTCACTTCTCTTGGGTATATACCTAGGAGTGGAATTGCTGGGTCATATGCTAACTGTATGTTTAACCTTTTGAGGAACCTCAGACTGTTTTCCAAACTTGCTGCACCATTTTACAATCCCACCAGCAATGTATGAGGGTTCCAGTTTCTCCGCATCCTTGCCAACGTTTGTTATTATCTTTTTGATTCTAGCCATCCCTATGTCTATGAAGTGGTATCTCATTGTGGTTTTGATGTGCATTTCCAAGATGGCTAATGATATTAAACATCTTTTTGTGTGCTTACTGGCCATTTCTATATCTGCTTTGGAGAAATACCTATTCATATCCTTAGCCCATTTTTTAATTAGGTTATTTGTCTTTTTTATTATTGAGTTGTAAGAGTTCTTTACATATTCTGGTTACAAGTCTCTTATCAAATATAGGATTACAAATATTTTCTCCCATTCTTTGGGTTGTTGTTTCACTTTCTTGATGGTGTTCTTTGAAGAACAAAATTTCTTAGTTTTGATGGTGTTCAATTTATCAAGTTTTTTTCTTTGGTTGCTTGTGCATTTGGCGTCATATTTAAGAAACCACTGCCTAATCCCAAATCACAAAGATTTACTCCTATTTTTTTTACAGAGTTTTATAGATTTAGCTCTTACATTTAGGTCTTTGGTCTGTTTTGAGTTAATTTTTGTATATGGTGTGATATAAGGGTCCAACTTCATTCTTTTGCATGTAGATATCCAGTTGTCTCAGCATGTTAATTGAAAAGATTATTCTTTGTTGAATGGTCTTGGCACCCTTGTTGAATATTAATTGGCTATAAATACAAGGGTTTATTTCTAGACTTTCTATTCTGTGCCATTGTTCCATATGTCACTATGCCATACAGTATGCTAGATCACATTGTCTTGATTACTTCAGCTTTGTAATAAGATGTGAAATTGGGAAACGTGGGTCCTCCAACTTTGTGTTCTTCATTTTCAAGATGGTTCTGGCTCTTCAGGTCACACAACAGATTCTTAAAACATACTTGTTGCCTGGTCACTTGCTTTCTTGTTTTGCTGATAATGGGTTTAGAACCCATGAGGGTCTGGCTAGCCTGCATATTTAGGTGAAAAATTCTCTCCCTACTCTTCAGCCTCCACTTCACAAGGCATTTGGCCAGTAGTTATCTGGGCTGTTCTGGTGAGCTGCCTTAGACCAAGACAAGATAGTAAAAGAGGGAACTCGTGGGATGCATCTGACCCCTCAACCAGGAGAACTGAATCCAACTAATCCTCTTCCCCTCCGCCTAATATCCCAGCCTTCCTTCCTCTTCTTGCAGGGTCAGTGTTTAGGTGGTTATAATTTTATCTAGGTCCACTCCAGCCAAGGAGTTCCTGGGAAGTGCAAATTGTTAACATACTTGGCTGCTAACCAAAAGGTTGGCGATTCGAGTCCACCCAGAGGCACCTCATAAGAAAGGCCTGGTGGTCTACTTCCAAAAAATCAGGCATTGAAAACCCTACAGAGCACAGTTCTACTCTGATACACGAGGTCGCAATCGACTTGGCAGCAAATGGTTTTAACTCCAGCCAAATCACCCCCGTCTTCCTCTCGTGCCCCTGTCACTCCTATCCCTCTCTCGCCCCTTCCTAAGCATGATTTTTGGCAAAATGGTGCAGGATGAGGGCTCGCAGTCCTATCAGATGGGGCGGGAGCAGAGCCTGACCTCATGGTGGCATCTTTGGTCACCCCCATGTGTTTTTTACGGACCCAAGAGGAGTGTTGCCTGAGCTGCAGCCGCTGATTTTGCTGGTGGATGAAACTTTTTTCTCCCTTTGGGACTTTCAGTCTTTATCTTAAGGAGACAAAAAAGGAGGCTGCAGAGAGGAGTGGATCAGAAGGTCAGTTTTCTGAAAGGCTTCAGGATAAGCAGACCTGCCAGTGGTACCACAATGCTGAGAACTTATAGCTTTGACCTTTTTTCAAAACATGGCCCCCAGCAGGGAGCCTTTTTTTTTTTTTTTTTTTTTTGAAGAAAAGTGATAAAACCAAGTCTGACTTCTTCATCTCCATAGAGTGCTGGGAGTGTTTCTCCTTTGCCACGCTGCAGGGTTGGGGGCAGGCAGGAAGGAATCTGCCCACTGAGACAGACTTAGCCTCGCATCACCACCGCCAACCGTGCAAACTTGGACCTGTTACCCAACCTCTGAAACACAGCTCCCTCGTTTGTTAACTAGGGATACCTCCCTCATAGGATTGTGGGAGTAGTCCATGATTCAGTAGAAGTGAAGTGTTATTATTGTCAAGAATAATACTAGTTATCATTTATTGAATGCTTTCTTTGTGCCAGTTCCAATGTAAGTGTTCAAATGAAATCAAGTGGGGTAAAGGAAAAGATTTCATAATCTCCAGAGCCGTGAACAGGTATCTTTTGAGCATCTGCTGTGTATTTAATCTTCTGCTGGTCCTCATATGTATTTTCAATTCTTTGGGGTTCTAGACCAGTTGAGAAGGACACAGAGGAGTCGGGTAGAGATAAAAATAGAGTCTGTATTGTAGGCAAAGGCCTGATCAGCACATGGCTCAGATCTACAGCCAGACTGGGCTTTTGCCACTGGGGCCCCCACCTCCTCCTCCTCTGCTTCCTCCTCCTTCAAATCCTCCCATTTTAAATCCTGGTCCTAGGCTGTGGAGCTAGTAGCATGGGGAGTGGGGGTACTAGGGGGTAGGTCCCCTATGGGATTTATTTGGGGCTCTGAGGATGGTAAGATCAGCCCTTTTGACAGCTTACGTGAGTGCAGGCTCCCTCTGTGGCCTCTAGGTCCTCCTGGAGGCCACCAACCTTGCTCATCTTGCCACAAAAACCTGCGTCTCTTGAACATTGCTATTAATTCTCGAAGCTGTCCTTTGCACGAACGCAAAACTTGTTGCTGATTCTGGTTTCTTTATAGCCACCTAGAGCTCTGTGACTGTGTGTAAGTGGGCTAACCTTTCTGAACCGTTACCTCCTCTATGAAGTAGCAATAAAATCCTACCCAACCCATAGGATGCTGGAAGGATTAGAGATAAAGCACTTGGTTAGGGCCTAGCACATAATCAACGCTCACTGGGGCCATCAGGTAAGCCAGGCTCAATACCCTGGGGAACTACCATAAGCCTTCCATTCCCAACTCTGAGCCTTCTCCCCGTGTGCTGAGCAAATCTCCTTTGGGGCCCAGTGGTCAAGGGCAGGCCTGTCTGCTGGAGTTGGAGACTTTGGACTTGGGAGAGACACGGGCTCAGCAGAAGTGGGTCGTTGAAAGACAGTTACTGGTGCACGGCTGGATCAGGTTCATCGTCTGAGTAACGGGACTCCAGTCCCATATTTCAGACATCCTCCAGGGTGTGGGTGGGCAGGGGCAGGGTTGTTAGCAGAAGTGAGGCAATACCCTGAGCCTCCCTACAAACCCATATTTAGGACTGTCTCAGGCAAAATGGTGAAGTAAGCAGTGGTTTCCCCAAGGCACCCCACTTCCTCTTTCTGTACCCCATTCTCTTCTTTCAGCACCCCTCCCCCAGGCAGCCATGGAGACAAACCTCTGAAAAACAAAGTCACTGTAAGATGGAGGTCAGCAAACTAGGGTCCAAGGACCAAATACCGCCCATCACCTGTTTTTGTAGAGCCCATGAGTGATGAATGGTTTTTACATTTTTAAATGGTTGGAGGGAAGAATCCGAAGAAGAATATTTCTAAGCATATGAAAATCTGTGTCCGTAAATGAAGTTTTATTGGCGCCCAGTCACACCCATTTGTTTCTCTGTTGCTCGTGGCCGCGTGGCACAACAGCAGCCGAGTTGAGTACTTGGGATGGAGACCATATGGACAACACCTAAAATATTTTCTCTTTGGCCCTTTAAGAAGAAGTTTGCTGACCCTCTGCTCTAAGACATTAGAGATTTCATGTGCTGTGTGCCCGAGGGGATTTGCTTTCAAAAAGCAAGGGGGAAGGGGCAAACCAATGGAATCCGGGCAGTGGGTGCCTGCAGTGGAGATGTGAGAGGGGAAGCTTTCCTGATGCCTTCCAGTCCCACGGGAGAGGTGAAGGGGAGAGAAATGCCCATTCCTGCAGGTGGTACTGCTTCTGTCCACACAGGGATAGGGAGCATGGCGGTGGGGGATGAGGCCTGTGACTCATTCTAGGTGTGCAGACAGCAGGCCTCAGAAGTGGGTTACTAGCCTTCAGTCAGGCCAAGCCACCTCTTTCTCTGCTGGCTGATGGCAGTGATTTTACCTGGGCCCGCATGGTCCCACAGTCTCACAGAGCCTCCCCAGGCTGGCGCTGGGTGGCCCATTCCTTACTTGCCTCTCTACTATCTCTGCAGAGTTTGCCTTCTGCCAGGTGGACGCCTCCATCGCTCTGGCTCTGGCCGTGGCTGTGTTGTGTGACCTGCTCCAGCAGTGGGACCAGCTGGCCCCTGGACTCCCCATCCTGCTGAGATGGCTGTTGGGCGAGAATGACGACCTCGTGGTCTGTGCAGAGAGCACGTGTCAGGTAATTTGGACACCTAAGGGCAGCGGGAGGCAGGGCTGGAGTGTCCTGAGCCCGCAGGATATAGCACTTACAGGCTTGACTGGGCCTGGCATGGCCACCGCACGTGTGCTGCTGGGTGCTCAGGTACATCCAGAACCATCAGGAAAGGCGCCGCATGATCATGGCAGCCTGCTGGGTGCTGCTATGGGCATGTGGGAAGCTCTCATACTGCTTTTGGGGTTCCAGTGGTAAGCCTTCGGATCTGTGCGGGAAGAAGACTTTGAAAGGGCCCCCTTGGAGGTCGAGAATTTCATTATGGAGAATGCTTACTAGTCAGCATTGGAGTAGCTCAGGGCTCCCCAAGGTTAGTTCTGAGGGTGAAGCATTTCTAGAGAATTAGAGTTCTTCTAGACACTTGCTGCTTAAAAAAACTATTAGCCCCCTCCAGATAGGGGTGTACACTCAACAGATAGGGAAACTGAGGACCAAGACAAGCAGCAAAAGCATCTCGAGAACTGTAAATCAGATCCACCAGTGTCTGACTCAGCTGGCCTTCCTGGCATCCCCAGCAGACCAAGAGTTCAAAAAGCAGGCTGTTTATGGGAAGTTTGGAGACATGACAAACTGTCTGTGATAAAATGGCCTTGAGAATCCACAGCATGGGAGAAATTTGGTTTCATACTTAGAGACTGCTGCTTGTGCTTGATAAGTCTTTGCTCTTTGTTCTGCTACTGAGATCTCCCTTCCTCTCTCCTGATTCCCACACACACCCTCAGGTCTAGGGCCCACTCCCAGGTTGAGGTTCCCTGGTTACCTAGCTTTCAACATCAGGCACCCAAAATATCTCAGCTTTGAACCACAAATACATCTTTATCAAAGGTCATGTTAAGTCTGGGCGAAAAAAATTCCTCTCTGGTGGAGATGTACAACTAGTGAAAATAGAAGGTGACTTTCAAGGCTGCAAGTGGTGTGTATACGTGGGTGTTGACAGGCGAGAGTGGGCCCTCTGTCAGGTGGGGGAGGGGACATGCCTCTCCTGCATCTGGCAGGACTCTCCTTAGCCTAGGCTGGGACTTGTCAACATTCCCTTTTAGCCTGACATTTGGCTTTTTCATTGGGTTTAGGTGGAAGAAGACTACCTGTTTGAAAAAGCAGACGTCAACCTTTGGGCTGAGACCCTGGTGTCCGTGAGATACCTCTACAAGCACCTCTCCTGGCTCCTCTCCAAATCTAGCTGGCATCCCCCCGGCCCTGAGACCCTCCCTCACCTTCGAAGGACAGTGTCAGAGCAGTACCACCTCCTCTCCCAGGTCTTCAGAGAGCTGCCACCAACCGCCGAGTTTTTGAAGACAGTGGAGTTCACAAGACTGCGCATTCAGAAGGAAAGGACTTTGGCTTGTCTGAGGCTGCTGGCCTTTCTGGAAGGGAAGGAAGGGGAAGACACCCAGGTTCTCAGTGCTTCTGATTCTCCTCCAGAAGCGAGTCAGTTAACTCTGCCAAGAGCAGAAACAGCATGTTGAGCAAAGAAGTTTCTAGGGATAGGGGGCGTGGATGATTCCTCCACTAAATCTGCAGGAAATGTGTTGAACATAAATTCAAGAACTTTCCCCCTTCACGCCTCCACCGCTTCTCTGAGTCTAGTCTTACGTCCCTTCCTACAGAGGAGTTTTTCTTCAGTTCACTCAGTCAAGTCAGCCAGGTTTATTGCAGCTACTGTAGGAAGTGAGGCCATCACGCTCCCAGGTGCAGGCCACCTGCAGGCCTGAATTAGCCTCTTTTGTCCCCCAACACCTCTAACTTCCAGCCATAGCCTGTCTGCATTGACTGCCTGTGAACTGACTATACAAATTGAGCTTTTGGTTGCTTTTTTTTCTTTCCAGAATTGGTTTTAACACATGATCCTCCCCCCTCCTTTTTAGCTGGATGTAGGGGCTGGATTAGTTGGCAAACAGCCCATATGATCCAATTTCTAAATTTTACTCCATTTCAGCAAGGCAGAAATATGTTCCAAATGTTAAATCCTGAGAGAATTAAGGATCAACTTCATACAGATAATTTTGTTTTTACCGTTTGCATGTGTAAGGCCTGCAGTGACTTACACATTCCATCCTATTAAAAGAGCCACCAAGAGCTCTCCTCACCCCAAAAAAAGTGTTTGTGATAATGCTAGTAAACCTGATTTTGCTACCCAGTGAAGCAACCTGGGGAAGGGAGGGCCAGAATAAATGATTTATTTGAAGCTTACACTGTTTACTATCGTTTGCTTGGTGACAATTTACAAGATACTCACTTAAGATGCCAATAAACACATTTACCCATTTTAGTGATTTAATCTAGAAACCTTAAGGTTTTGTGCTTTTCCAAGCCCATTCCAGCCCTCTCCCCCAGATACCCAGCAGGTGTCGCTCTTGCACACATTTTGCTGCTGGGCTCTGTTTTCCATGGGCTTGCCATTTTTAATTTGTAATTTCAGAACAATTGTTACCCACAGACAGTTACTTTGAGATTCATAACTTGGATGGGTCTTAGCCTCATCCACATTTTATTTTTCATCCTAGTTATCTGAAAAAGCCATTTCAGTCAGTGTAAAACTTGCTCCAGCTTTTAGAGTCTGTAAATATTTTTAAATACTTCTCAGGTGAGCGGTCACTTAGAATTATTTTATTGATGTTTAACTGATGTTGAGGAGAATTCGATATGATCATGTCCGACTGCAGAAAAGCTGATGTTTCAAATGTAATTTGTCTTTGAGTGAAAACCACCTAATGCTAAAAACACAGCCATGATGGTGGAAGTATAAACAGCCCTGAAGAGTCAGTCAAGGAAAGAAGTTAACTGAGTATCCAAAGCTTTGTCCTTTAGAGGACAGGAAATTTCCTGGTGATTTTGCACCATTTGGCCCAAAATGTGGTTTTTGTGATCCTGAATTCATTACCTGGTTAGGCATCTGTCAAGCCCAAACTTGATGGAAAGGTGCCAACTTACCACTTTTTTGTTCTGAGAAGATGTAGCTAATGAAGTCAGGGAATTGTTGGAGTAATGGGATAGCCATGAGGAGTCATTACTGAGCTGGCCCCAACAAAGCCCAGCTTACTGGAAAAGGCCAGGATTCCTTTTTGCTCCATCTAGAATGAAATAAAAGCAGTTATGTAATAATAAAAATACTTTACACGAGCAAGTACTCTGAACCAGAGCATACACCATAACCTGTTTACGTGCTATCTCCAGAATCCTTCTAACAGGCCTGCAAGTGGGTTTTCTCATCGCTGTTAAATGGGAATTACCCTTGATTTTGATCTTTGCTATGGCCAGCCTGGGAGGGCGAGACAGGTGTTCCCACTGGTTTTGTATCTGAAATCTTGTTAACTGACCTAATAGCAGAGGCTAGGGAAATGACTTTCACCCTTTCCTGATGCAGTCTCAGGAGAGGCTCGGAGGATACCCTGCTCTCAGGGCCACCTCAACAAAAAACAAAACAGATCAGGGTTCTTGGGTGCCCTGGTCATTTCCTCCAAATGTCAGCCAAGCTGCCCAGCCCTGTCTAGGGGCCAGTGCAGGCTGGTGGAAAGAGAGTGAAGTGGTTTTCCACCCGTTCTGAGGTCGTCACCCTCAGCACCAAGCGCTGGGGTCTGAGATTTTAGTGTCCTCTCACTCTGAACTTGAGGTTCTGTGGACCCCCATCCATCTGGCCACAGCCCAGAGGCCTCCCTTTCCTCATGTTTATGCTTTGTTACTTTTTAAAAAATACTTAAGATAGCTTATACTTGTTTATCTTTTAAGAGATCATCTCATTTGTGCTTTGACAAAGGTGAGAGAGAAGTAAAACAAGATTTATCTTAATTTTACAAGAAAACCCAAGTAACAACGAGATGATGTGATTTGCCCAAGATCACATGGCTTGTAAGGGGCTGGGCCTGAACTCCAGCCCTCCATTTCCGATCTTAAAGGCCTCACTGGGCAGGTGTGTGGGCTAAGGAGTCAGTTCCCGAATGAAGGGCCTGGCCCTTTCCTACCAGTTTAACCGCGAGGAGACATGACTGCAAAGAAACACAGCAAGAAAAGATCAAGTTTGGGACGGGGTGTGGGTCGCGTGACTTCCTTCTTGGCCGGTACCGGACCTTTCAGCTTGGGCCCAAGTGTGACCTGGGCTGCCAGGTGTGCGAAATCGTGGGCCAGGCTCCAGCTTGTTGACAGCCAGCCTGTACAGACGCGAAGTGAAGAGTGTACCGGATCAGCCTGCTTCCGATCAGCCTGAGTGGGACTGCCTGCCCGAAAAAGTCAGCAGCTTTAGCCTCACTGGGCGCTAGAGGGGGTGTCTGTCCCGTACCCGGACGGGGGCGGGACGCTCAGTCGCGCCGAGTTGGCAATGCGCATTTCCCAGCGCAGGCTGTTGGGGCGTGGGGCTGAAGAGAGGGAAGCGGAGGGAAGGCGCGCCTACCATCCATGTCCTCCGTGCCCAACCCGGGCCGCACGCGGGCCTATCTCAGCCGGGATCTGCGGCCCGCACCGAATTAAGACGGGGCGCGGCGTCCCAACCGTTGGAGAGGGAAGGGGCTTAGGGGGCGCTCCAGGCCCAACTTGTGTCGGGGCAGGGAGCCTCGGTGAGCAGCTGGACCCCAATCCCAGAAGAGCGGGGGAAGGCCGGGCCGAGCAAAACAGTAGACGGACGGGAAGTGGCGTCCATGCCCGCGCGACTCTTCCCAGCCTTTCCTCCTAGCCGGCTCCCCCGCCCGGGACGCTCCGCGCCTTTGGCCCTGGCTCAAGGTCTTGTGATGTGATTAGCAAAGCCAGTGCCTTGTCCTCAGACACTTAGCCCTGCCCGGCCGCCCCGGCGCTCAAGCGCTGTTTACTGCAGCTTGGGCGGGGAGGCAGGGGGGGCGGAGAAACCGCCCAAGCTCCTCGGGGCAAGACCGCAGCAGCGGTAGCCCGCGTGGCCGCTCCCGCCCCAACCCCGCCGCGTCTCCACGTGCAGCTGGGCTGGGGCCTCCACCCATGGGACTCAGACCCAGAACCCCCGCCCCCTGGCCAGAGCACCCTTAGCAAATCGTCCGGGTGCGCGGACGGTTGCAATATTCGTGCATTTTGCAATTCCCGCGCCCTGTACAAAACCGAGAGTAAAAGATTAAAGCTCTTCAAGTCCGCCTGCCTAGCAGGATCGGGCAGGGAAAGGCACGTCTACTGCTGCAGAACCCTGTCGCGTTATACGTGCTGGGGCTTTCCACATTGCAGCCCCACATGCGGGGTGCCGTACCTTCCAGCAGCACCCATTTGGGCCGAGCTCTCCACGCCGCCCCGCGCGCCCAGGCAGCCTGCCCCGCCCCAATGCCTCTCCACCCCCTCCCCCAGAGGAAAAAAATTGGCGGCGGCCAATGGGAGGCCGGGAAGACGCCTGACGTCCGCGAGTCGGCGGGCGGTGTTGCCTGGAGACCCCGGCCGGGTCAGCGTTCTGTCCCCTCCCCCGGCGCGCCCTCCGTGCCACTGCTGCGCTCCCCAGCTCTATATAGGGCGCGCGCTCGCAGGCCGCCGAGTTCCAGCAGTCCGCGAGCTGCCGTCGGCTCCGCGCGGGGGGGGGCGGGCCGGGCACCCCGGGGGCGCGGAGGAGCGCTCTTTGCTTCTCTCAACTTTCCCCCCACTCCTCACTCCAGGGCACTCAAACCAGTCCACGCTGCTTCCCTCTCCCTCTTTTCTAGCCCCCCAGCAAACTTTCGGTCCCACCTTCGCCCCTCGCCCGTTATTCGTCGTGGCTCAAGCCCGGCCGCGCCGCCCCGAGGGCTTCTCCGGACTTCTCCGCCTGCAGCTCCGACCATTACAAGACCCAGAAACATGTCGACCACACTTCTGTCCGCGTTCTACGACATCGACTTCTTGTGCAAGGTACGCGGCGGAGCAGGGCGGAAGGAGGGCAGGCAGGAAGCCGTTGTTTTCAGACTTTGCTTCCTTTCCTGGCTCTCGGGGACTCCCTCCCCACCTTGACTTTTCGAATCGGGAGAAATCCTGGAGTTTGCAGGAGTGTGTGCTAGCGTCTGTGGGCGGGGAGAAAGAGCAGGGAGGGAGCCGCTGTAGCTGTTTATAGTTTCTCCGGAGCCGACCGCGGCCACGCTGCCTGGGGCTTCCTGGGCCGGGTTTGCGCCGCCCAGCCCGGCGGTCCACCGGCTAGTGTCACATGTCGAAACCGTGCGCGGCCCGCGGTGGGCGTCCTTCACTGTCCGACTTCTGCCTATGCCAACTTGATTTTTCTGCGCTTGTATAGGTGGAGGGTGGGGGCCGAGTCGAAATATGCCAAGAAAAAAAAAATTCTGAAGGCTGGAAGTTTATGCTGCAGCTCGCCCCAATTCTTCGCTTCCATTTTTCATCCCTTCCCCGCTTCCCTCCCTTTGGCAGACGGAGAAATCTCTGGCCAACCTCAATCTGAACAGCATGCTGGACAAGAAGGCGGTGGGGACTCCCGTGGCCGCCGCCCCAAGCTCGAGCTTCACACCGGGCTTCCTCCGACGGCACTCGGCCAGCAACCTGCACGCTCTCGCCCACCCCGCACCCAGCCCCAGCAGCTGCTCGCCCAAGTTCCAGGGCGCCACTAATGGTGGCAGCTGTGGCGGCGGCGCTGTGGCCAGCGGCCCGGCCTCCTACGGCACCCTCAAAGAGCCGTCGGGGGGCGGTGGCACGGCCCTGCTCAACAAGGAGAACAAATTCCGGGATCGCTCGTTCAGCGAGAATGGAGAGCGCAGCCAGCATCTCCTGCACCTGCAGCAGCAGCAGCAGCAGAAGGGCAGCGGCGGCGGCTCCCAGATCAACTCCACGCGCTACAAGACCGAGCTGTGCCGGCCCTTCGAGGAGAGTGGCACGTGCAAGTACGGCGAGAAGTGCCAGTTCGCACACGGCTTCCACGAGCTGCGCAGCCTGACGCGGCACCCGAAGTATAAGACGGAGCTGTGCCGCACCTTCCACACCATCGGCTTCTGCCCTTACGGGCCGCGCTGCCACTTCATCCACAACGCGGATGAGCGGCGGCCTGCGCCATCGGGGGGCGCCTCCGGGGACCTGCGCAACTTCAGCCCGCGCGATGCGCTGCACCTGGGCTTCGCGCCGCCCCCGCGGGAGCCGCGGCCCAAGCTACACCACAGCCTCAGCTTCTCCGGCTTCCCGTCAGGCCACCACCAGCCCCCGGGGGGCCTCGAGTCGCCGCTGCTGCTCGACAGCCCCACATCGCGCACGCCACCGCCGCCCTCCTGCTCCTCGGCCTCGTCCTGCTCCTCGTCGGCCTCGTCCTGCTCTTCGGCCTCGGCGGCTTCCACGCCCTCCGGCGCCCCGGCATGCTGTGCCTCGGCCGCGGCGGCGGCAGCCGCCGCGCTGCTGTATGGTGCCGGGGGCGCCGAGGACCTGCTCGCGCCGGGCTCCCAGTGCGCCGCCTGCTTGGCGGCCTCGTGTGCCAACAACGCCTTCGCCTTCGGCCCAGAGTTGAGCAGCCTCATCACGCCGCTCGCCATTCAGACCCACAGCTTCGCCGCGGTGGCCGCCGCCTACTATCGCAGCCAGCAGCAACAGCAAGGCCTGGCGACCCCCTCGCAGCCCCCGGCGCCGCCTAGCGCACCCCTCCCTGCCAGCGCCACCGCGCCGCCCTCGCCTCCTTTCAGCTTTCAACTGCCGCGCCGCCTGTCGGAGTCCCCGGTGTTCGACGCGCCCCCTAGCCCCCCGGACTCGCTGTCGGACCGCGACAGCTACCTGAGCGGCTCCCTGAGCTCGGGCAGCCTCAGCGGCTCCGAGTCCCCCAGCCTCGACCCTGGCCGGCGCCTGCCCATCTTCAGCCGCCTCTCCATCTCTGACGACTGAGGAAAGAGGGCGCCAGTGAGGAGGAGGAGGAAGAAGGGCAAGGTGTCTCTGGGGGTGTTGGAGGACGTCCCTGGCCACCTCGTCCCTGCTGGGGAACAGGGGGCAGGACACAGGCCACTGGCAGACTGCAGGCCGGGCCGAGCACTTGGGACTCGAACTCTGCTGGGAGTGGGCCCCCACCCCTCCCCGTTCGGTTTCCTCTCATTTTTATTATTTTTATTATTATTATTCAGAAGTTTCATTGTTGTTGAGCAAAGAAAGCCAACGAACATTTTGTGTTGGTGAACACAATATTCACAACAGGGCAGTTGTGATGCGAATAGAACAAAAAAGAAAAAACAAACACCTATTTTAGGTCTCTGATACGTTTGGGACTTTAGGAAAAAGTCAGCCCAGCACCAGCAGCTACCAACCACCATTCCATCTCTTAACTTGAAAAGCATTAGTCACAGTCCAGATGTGGGAACTCTATCCTGAGAGAAGTTCCCAATTGTCATTTGTCTCAGACCAGTGTAAACAAACCAGCCAGCCACCACCTTAACTAAATCTATATAAGCTTTTAGAATCCAATATTCTGCCAAGAATATGCCTTGATAGTAGCCCTTGGCCTTAGGTTATTATTACTTTTTTCTTTTTACAAAGTTCATATCTTTTAAAAAAAAAAAAAAAAACATTGCATTCCAAAGTTTCATACTGGTTTCATTGCCCCCACTTAGTGGATGTTTAGTATAGAACCATTTTGTCTGCTCCCTGGAAGCCTTGGGCAGAGCTTAGTTTGTAATTGTTGGGGAATAACTGCTGAATTTTTAGCTGTCTTGAGTTGATTCGCACCACTGCACCACAACTCAATATGAAAAACTATTTAACTTATTTATTATCTTGTGAAAGGTATACATTGAAAATTTGTTCATACTGTATTTATCAAGTATGATGAGAAGCAATAGATATATATTCTTTTATTATGTTAAATTATGATTGCCATTATTAATCGGCAAAATGTGGAGTTGTATGTTCTTTTCACAGTAATATATGCCTTTTGTAACTTCACTTGGTTATTTTATTGTAAATGAGTAAAAAAAATCTTAATTTAAGAGATTGTATGTAATATTTATTTCATTAATTTCTTTCCTTGTTTACGTAAATTTTGCAAGATTGCCTGATTTCTTCACAGAAATCTATCTTGATGCTATGGAAGTAGTTTGAGGAATATCTTATGAGTTTTCTTAGAATGTATAATGGTTGCAGCCCATCCAATTTTAAAGAAAAAAAAATGACCACATACTTTGTGATCAGACTTAAAAGTGGCCTACTTTTCTATTTCCAACTTGATAAATTAACAAGAGGTGTTTTTTGTTTGCTTAATTCCACCAGTTCTACTGTGACATACTGAGTATAAAGACATGTAGCAATAATGGGGTGGGGGGTTAGTCTCACAGTGCCTTTGGAAGGGCCAGAACTTGCCTTAAATCTTCCTCAACCAAATAAGTATTTTGTTTCTTCTAGTGCTTGAGAGAATTTGAATGTAGGATGGGTTCAGCTGCACAAAAGGAAAAGATTTTACCACTTTTTAAAAAAATATAAAGTGAAGGGCCACCTCTTAGTGCTGAAATGTTATGTAGTACATGAATATGCCTTGTTTAATTACAGAAAATTCCAAAACTTTGTACTTTTTTTTTTTTTTTTTATCCTTTGTAGAAAGGCAGGAATGTCTCCCAAGCTTTCCTGGACAGTGGATGAATGAGCAGTAGCTTTAGTTTGTATGTAGGTACCGTTGGAGCACTATGTACGGATGTACTCTCTGGACTACCCTGACAGAGTAGGTTTTTGAATGTAACAAGATAAGTCAACTTGAGTTGTAAAATATTTTGGGGAATCAGTTCACTACACATTGTGACTGTAAACATTGTACTGTAAATGTTTTGTAGTTTTCCGCCAATAAAATTTTTGGACAAAAAGTTTTTAATGTAAAAGTAGCTTTGTTTTCAAGTGAGGACTATCTAGCTCTCCAGCTTCCCATCACTTTGTCAGGGACTTCCCAGGTCTTGGAGAGCTGGCAGAGCCAGGGTTAAGAAGGGCTTCTGTCCACCTCACCCGTATGTATTTTATATCAGGTCCTTGTAGCTGGAAGAAAGTAATTATTTGGACTGTCAAGGGCATTAGCTGGCTGTTCCCCTTGGTAATAAGATGCATCCCAGTGCTGGCTGGCTGGCTTGTGGCGGGGAGGCCTGGAGGGGTGTGGCGGGCCTGTGAGTCACTGAGTGGGTCACGTGGCCGCAGAGGCAGCCAAGGGTCTGCTTTTTCGCTGGGACACCCAAGGAACAACTGCTCGGAGTGGGAGGGGCCTCTGCCAGCCTGTGGCCGCCAGCCTGTGAGAGCTGAACTGGAGGTGGGGGAAAGCCACTGTTAAGCTTGGACTTTGGAAAGCCTGGCTGCTTGTCTGGAGAGGCGGGGAAGGGAAGGAAGATTAAACAGGTTCAACTTATATCTGGGTGATGTTTGTTTACGCAGACAACTTCCTCTAGGAGTGAGCACACATAAGTTATTTATGCAAAGAAAAAAAATCGGTGTCTGTGCTTTAGACAGCCTACAAGTGGCCAGAAAGCAAATTCAACCCAGGTCTGCAGAAAAAGGAAGGGTTGTGGCTGCTGATTCTTAGTTGAACAAAATTTTAATATGGAGACTCCGCTTTTCCTACAGTCATTTTAAAACAATCGCTTTAAAAAGTTAAAATCAGGTTCATAAATCAATTCATGTTTTTCCTTCTTCCTCCTCCCACATACATGCACACAGTTCAAACACTTTTTCCAAAGTAGGTAAGGGATTTAGCAATCGTTTGTTTTCTTATCTACAACAGCTGGGCTCTATCAGCCAACCCTCGCATCCCAGCTAGCATCCCCTCTCCCTGGCCTGCCTGAGCCAGGGTCTCCTGTGACTCACAGCTGAGCCCCGAGGGCCTGGGGGGGCGGACTGGTGGATCACGCCAGGCCTAGGGCAGCTGTTTCACGTTACCGGTGATAGCACTAGTGTTAACGGGAGCGTTTTGGTGCTTGGCGCACGCTGCCAAAGAGGATGGGGAACAGTTTCAAAGTTCTCCCAGATGCCCGGCCCCTGCTGAGGGCCTCAGCCGCGAGGGAGGGGAAGCCCGAGGCCAAGGAGGACTGGGGCAGCCGCAGACCCTGCAGGCTCCCTGGCCTCTTCACCATAAAGAATGTGCAATGGGGAGGAAACGTCTACAATGTGGTGCTATTTAGGCCAAGCTACATTTCAAAGGCCTTGTTTCCACTTCATTCCAAAACTTATTTTTCTGAACAAGTACTTTTGATCAGCCGGAATGTTAGACTTCTTTTGGGGATAAGCCATATTCATTTTTAAAGATTTGTTTGAAAGCCCAACTGCTAGGATCTGAAGTTTTGTAATTTAGACCCAGTGGAAGGCAGAAAGCTGGGGCCGGGTTGGGGGGTGGGGACGCAGGGGGGTCCATTCAGAAATTTCCTCTTACTTCAAGTCAATGGGGAGTCCAGAAGTCATTGTCTTTACAGCACACCAAACGCTCTGGTATTGCTTGATTCACCCCTGTGCAAGTTTTCTTGTACATTAAGGGAAATAAAAGTAGAAATTGCAAGTAAGGACATGACAAGATTTGGGAGTGGAGCTAAAACTGACTCTGGCCCCAAGGCCGAATTGTACTCAAGCTAGAATCCTTCTGTAGTCAGTTGTGAAAATGAGCCCAGAATGTGACGGTATTTAGAAAGTCTTTAGTGTCATTTCCACTGGCTGTTTGAAGACGAACCTAGTTTTTAAGCAGCCCAGTTAGAGTGTGCCACCTTCTGAGAAAGGATGCATGCGTGTGATATTTTCCACCCCTCACTTTCTGAATCTATTCCTGGGTGTGGAAAAGAAACACACAATCTTATTTAGAAGGCCAAAGCTCTGCGCCTGCCCATGGGAATAGATGAGGGTTTGTGAGCCCTCCAGCGGCTCAGGAGCCCGGATGACAGGGCCAGGCCTGGGAGGGCCCTGATGCAAGGAAGGCCCAAGCCGGTAACTCTTGGCTGCCTGGTCTGAGTCAGCACTAAAATGCTCAAGTGTTAAAATCTGCGGGCGGGCGGG